CTTAATCAATATTTTAATTGATTATAAATCTTTGTCGCCTTGTGGTTAATTATATTTTTTTAAAATACTACTTAATATATATATAAAATTGATGAGTAGTATTTCGAGCCAAAACGAGCCGATCACTAGCGAACACATCTTAGTTCGTGTTCAGCTCGTTACCTTATCGAACGAAATTAACGAGCCGAACACAAACTGTTCGCGAACAACGAGCCGTTTTGACAACCCTAATAAGAATATTCTCCCTGTAATTTTCATTTTTATTGAAAAATAAAAATTCCCAATGATGTAATAGTAACATTCATATATGTAGGGCACCACCAATGATCAATTGTGCCAACAAAGAACCACATCTATACATAAAAAGTTGAGTTTAAAAAGAGGTAGAACAAATAATTTCTAATACGTGTCATATAACCTTTTTGACTTGAAAGTATTTTATATGCATTTTATGTGATCCGCTTAATAGTGAGGGCTTTCATGGCTATTCAGCATTATGTGACTGTCAAGATGCTTCCGCCCCACCTTGTGGTCACTGCCTCGTGCTCATAAATGCGTGCATGGAGAACTACTGCAAATGGATAAGTGACAAATGCATCTATACGCTAAAATCTATTTGTATCTTATTAGTATATTTCAAATAATGAAATGTACTAATTTTTATGTAATACTTTCATATTACATAAAAATTATCAATATTGCAAAATTAAAAAAAATGAAATATACTTTTTCAAACATAGGTAAAATGCTGTAAACGTGAGAATCAAAGTGTTAGATATGTAAATACATAAAAAGTTGTTATGTGATATGTATGTAAATTTTATTTAGTTAAATTTCGGAGACCCCGTCAAATTCTTTTTTAGAATTTTAAGATAGATAATCAAAATTGTAATACATTTATTACAAAATATAACATCACATTCATTTAATAATCACAATACAATTATTTCTTATAACTATTAAGCGTACTCATTGAAGTTACATTACATTAGTGAAGAGCTCACACCTCTCCGGCCACATATTTACATTTTCGGCAGTCTTCTTTTGTTAGTAGATCTCTCTTTTGCCGCTTAGGAAATCGCGTGTGCGCCAGAGACTACACAAAGAACTCTTCACTATTTTGGGTGGCATTTTGGAAAGCAGAATAACTTGAAGAAACGAACTGCGACAGCAAAGTTTAGGGCAATTTTTTTGTCATTAAAAGCTGGAGATCTGTAGAAGAGTTTAGAGATGAAGAAGAACCAGCAAGAAGAGAAAAACAATAAGGAGAAGACAGGCAAAAGGGACATCAAGGACAAAAAAAAGACAAAAAGCGAGAAGGTATAGAAATATAAAATAAGAATATAGATAAGGGACACTACATGCATAGCACGCAATTCTTATATATTTATATACCTCACACTTAAAGCATTTATATTTACTCACATAGCATTCAAATCTTTAATATCAGATCAAAAATAAAATTTAAAAGGTGAAATATGTCTTTTCATGCATAAATTTAAAACACCAGAATGTCGTATATAAAATGGAGAAGTTTATTTGTGATATATGCATATTCAAAAGAATTGTGGGCTGCTTATGTAACTTTCACTGTAAATTTTCCTCAATTTTCCTTTTATTTTATTTTTTTTACTTATCATCATGAGCATAGACTAGTAGCCCTGTCTCACTGAGCAAGCCACGATTTGAGCCCAATGCCTGAGTTTTGTCTTCATTTGTTCCGGACTGTCCCCTGTGAATCCATGTAATTAAAAACTTAATCAAACATAAATAAGATTTATTAAAAAAGGGGCATTTACATGCATACCACACACAATTCTTAACTATTTACATATATCATACCCAAAAATACATATTTATATACATAACGCTAAAATCCATAACATAACATCAAAAAGTATCAGCATCACTCTTTCTTTAAAGAGAAAATATCTTTTAGTTTCTACAACCAACAGAGAATGAGGAGGCTACATCATATACACGTGAAGTTACATATTTTCATGCATAAATTTATGATACTAAAATGTCATAGCTATAAAACTTTCAGATTGCAAGGACACAGCCTTGTTACTACTTACCCGGTTTAAAGATCTGCCAGGTATCATCATCAGGATTAACAGAAGTCTTCCCCTGCTCCAGCTGAGACTGCTCATTCGGAGTTCTTGGGCTCGGCGTCCCAAAAAGAGTCGTCATCGGCGATGAAGATGTTGTCGCGGCTGCCGTCGGCGTCGATGCAGGACTCGGTGTCTGTCGCAGCTTCGTGTCAGACGACTGCCTGTTCAATGCAAAGAGTAGATTAAGCGCCGGCAGAGTTTTGCACAATTCCCTGCCTCCGTTATCCTCGCTGAACCCAAAACCGAGCTCTACCGAACCCCTTAGCTCATCCATGTCCTCATCCGTCAAACTCCTTACCCTCTCCCTCCTCGTCCTCGCCCCTTCTTCCTTCCCATCCAAGTCCCTCTCCGCCACCAACCCATCGCTTTGGCTCCGCAGGTACATTTGCCGCTTCTTCTTCTCCCATTTTGCTTCCCTCTCCATATCTCTCATTGAAAGTTGCTTCGAAAGAACCTTCTTCGCCAGATTGCCAGTCCACGTCTTGGGTGGCTGCAGCACCTCGACATCCTCATCATCTGTCTCACTCTCGGAGGAAACCGGCGTTGGCATTGAGGCTGAGGACGATGAGGAGTGGAGTAATTTTTTTTGCTGTTCCATCTCCCTGTTCATGGTTCTTCGATAACTCATCATCGCCCAGCCGGCGTTAGCCACAATGGCCTCGCCGCTTAGACGTGAGATGAGGGAAATGGGGAAGGAGAAGATGGGTTGGGGTTAGGAAGAAAGGACCGCACCAACGGTCGAGAAGAAGAGAACTGTCCATCGCGGGATTAGGTTGCACTTGCTAAAAATACGAGAGGTGGAGTTGTGGCCACAGGTTTCTCCTGCTATGTTTAGTGGAAAGAGCCAGAAAGGCAGATGCGTGCATGGAAGCTGTAGTTGCGCTTGATCTCTTCTCATTTTGGCAATCTGTTTTTGATGGTTCTGCGTCGATGGTTTGTCAGTTGGTAGAAAATATTAAACCGAAGTGCGGCGATGGCGATCCGTCCGCAGCTCTGTTCTGCATCCGGACAAATATTTTCTAGTTAGTACGTGAAAATATTCGGTGGGGGATACGGACACTGCATGCAGAGATCACGGTGATTTACGGTCAGAATTATTTTCATTTAAAAAAAAAAAAATTTAGGTGAGGCCCACCGAAATATATCGAGACCGTAGATCAAATGATTTACTGTCCGGATCGGACACAGCACGGCGTGCGGTGTCCGATCCGTATGGAATAATTTTAAGGGTATCACCGCTGCTCGGATGAGCCTAATACCAACCTTATAATAGTATGAAATACATCCGAGGAAAAAATATTAGGTGAATTAATGAATTACACACGAATAAAGATAATCATTTAGGCGAAAAATTATTGTATGCCGAGTGGGCCCCAACCCTCTATAAAATGTACCAATCAGTGCATTATAGTGGTCTCACTTATCATGTGACAAGTGCATGCTAGACACCGAACACAGATCTGCATCTGATGTCTTCATAGAATAATCTCTCTATTTATGTACATAATATTTTTTCCTAACATGAAAAAACAGTGCATCTATTTGGGGCTCATTGGTTTTTTTTTCTTTTTAATAATGGTTTATTATTTGTTACGCTATACGGCCAAAATTTGGAGAAAAAGATGATTCTCTTTAGCTATTTAGCATGAATGAGTAGACTCAATGTTAATTGATTGAAAAAAAAATGATTCTTATGTTTCCAATATACTCATAAAATTAAGAATTATAAAAATTTTAGATTTAATGGCATTCTCAAAACATTATATTGGAAAAAAATATCATATAAATTCATACCCACCATTTAAAAAATTGTGCATTGAATGGTCGCTGATTTAAGTTGTCTTTATTTGGTCTTTGTTTAGTTTAATAGTAAATTAGTTGAAATAGATCAAATATTTTTACTAGGATTAAGCTTATCAGAAATTGAGTACGAACTTAGTGGTTAACCCAACAAGAATGAAGACTCTTGTGTACTCTTAAATAGGACTGTCAAAAAAGCTCGTTGTTCGTGAACAGCTCGTGTTCGGCTCGTTCGTTAAAACAAGCCGAACATAATCAAATTTTTAAAGCTTGAATTATAAACGAGCCAAACACGAACAACTCCTTGTTCGCTCGTGTTCGGCTCTTTTTAGCTTGAAATAAAAAAAAAATATTACTATTTATATAATAATATATTACATATAT